TTTATTATACGACTGAAGTTCAAAGGGACACAAGTGCGGTATTATTCGGGACCATTCGGGACAGTGCCCGGTCCAATACTTAGAGAATATTGGACCGGCAATAGAGCATTTTGATTGGTTGATTTTAGTTATTGGCCCTCTGACTGCCCGAGTCGTGTAATAAAAACTGTTGTTGAACAAAATAGTGCAATGTTTGAACCAGATTCTATTTCTGAAGCACTGGAAGCTTTCAGAAGCAATGAAGGCAACAGTATTGTTCACTCCTTTGATTCTTCAAATGATAAGGAAAATTAATATTTACATTTAGATATGCATAGCAATTGTGAAAGTGATGAGGAATCATTTAACGAACAAATACCTTCTCATCTTGCCTCTAAATGTAACTGTGGTCATATATCAAAAGTCCCCACAATTTCAGGTCATATTTAATCAACAGAAATTTCTGATGACTTTTTACGAGAGTCTGTGAGGTCATTAAACAGTAAACAGCATACTGCATATGATAGTGTTCTGTCTTGGTGCAGAAACAAAGTAAAAAATATGCATTGTCTTAAACCTGAAGAAATCAAACCAATTTATCTTTTTATCTCAGGGTGTGCTGGTGCTGGCAAAAGTCATTTAATAAAGGCAATATTTCACACATTAGTTAAGACATTTAGACATGCAACAACTAATCCTGGACTATCAACAGTACTTTTGATGGCCCCAACAGGTGTTTGCTATAAACATTAACCGAACTACAGTGAATTCGGCTCTAGCTATTCCCAAATTTTTTCTTGTAGTTTTGGTTATATACAAATAACCACTCTGGATAATAAAAATACATTTGGCGCCCCATAGTACAGGCATGATCACAACTCAGACAAATTTTCGAGTTTGGGAATCTGCATTAAAAGTATAAATATTCAGATTGTGTATCAGGAACACACTCCCACTATAAATGCTGTTGAATTTCAAGTCAGTTGTAATAATATATTACAACAAAATGTAACCTTTCTTGTAGTTTATCGTAAAAATGACTCAGATATTTCTGTATTTATCAATGGCTTAAATTATTTACTAAGAACTCATGCTATCGTTATAGTCTCGGGAGATCTCAATATAAACTACTTTAGCTGTAAAGAGGTAAAACCACTAACATCAATGATGGAGTCTCTGAATTATGTGCAGATTGTAAAGAGGCCTACTTTCCTTTATGGTAGTCCACTTGACCATGTTTATGTTCAGCATTCAAAGGAAGACATGACCCGTAGCTCTGTAATTAGTGTGTGCTATTCTGACCAAGATGCCATTAGAATTACTATACCAACTTAATCTTCTGTATTATACTATTAGGACACAAGTTGAAGTATACCTACCATATATACTAACCAATCTTTAAGTTCTATTATAATCTTACAAAATTCTGTGTGAAAATACACTTGCAGAATAAAAATACCTTTTTAACCACTTGCACTGGAAGTTTTGTAGGCACCTTAAGTCTGCGAACTCATGGAAGTCATAATGAAGTAAAATGAATGTGAGAATGCAAATCTGCTTTTACATGCTATTTTTTCATCTTATCTATCAATGTGAAAATGTCAAAATCTTGGAAACGAGATGACTCAAATTACTACTGATAACATTCTTGTTTTGTGGTTATAACAATCAATTTGCTTCCATGTCGTTTAAAAAGCGTTTGGTTACGTTATGTTATTAAGTTAGGTCGCCCTCTATCCAGCAATGTATGACCAGGAGCTGATACCAACTAGTCTGCCTCCTGTTCTGTATTCGAGAACAACAAAGGGACATCTTCCTCTGCCACTTGGCGATATCCAACGCTTGCCTGGTTATAAAATATTAAAAAAAACATTTTACGTAAGGAAACGGTCATCATTCATCCCCTGAGGGGAGGGGGCGGTTCTCAGAGGCTTTTGGGGGATCACATGGTTTTTAGGGAGAACGGAGGGTGGATTCGTCGTCGCCAACAGAGTTTGACGGTGTAATT